TTTAGTCATGTAGCAAGACCACAGTGTTTTCCTTACTGCAGCTTTATACTTTACACTTCCTTGCACTGTTTTCATTAATGGAAATTAATTTTGTAATGTTGTGTAATATTTTCCTTCATTTCTCTTCTGTTTCCTGATATTTCTTGATATTCTTTCATAATATTTTTTCAAGTGATATTTTGAATCCTATTTTCTAGATTAAAAAAACGATTTAAAACTATTTTTATAATAAGTCTCTTTTTTGACATTATACTATTTATTTTAGTTGGGCAGGTATAAAAATCTCTGCCATCCAGGAATTTACAATCTAATGAAATGAATACAGATCAACTTAAATATCATTTGGGCAGCTGGGCAGTAAAGTGTGTTGCTTATCTGGTTTACTTAATCTAGACCTTGACAGTAATGTAAGAATCAATCAAGAAATAAGAATATGTAACAATTGTTTGATATCTATAATATGAATCTTTAGGAAGACAATAAAACCACAATCTAGAATAAGATCTATGTACATACTTTACTATGTTGAAACACTAAAAATACAGACAAAAATTCTAAGGATATGATACAATAGAATTGTGATTATTAACTTCTGCCCATGAATCAATTAGCACACAATTCCTCTATTCTGAGCACATAAAAACCCCAGACGCAACCAAACTTAGACACTCATTGGGATGGCCTGCCTGTGGAAAGGAGCTACCAACTTCAGGTCTCCTGAGAGCTGTTTTGTCGCTCAATAAAGCTCCTCTGTGCCTTGCTCACCCTCCAATGGTCCATGTAACCTCATTCTTCCTGGATGCGGGACAAGAACTCAAGACCTGCCAAATGGCAGGAATGAAAGGAGCTATAACTCATTCCTTGCTGGCCAATTCACCAAGCTGCAGATGGTGACACACTCCTGGACTGTGGGAGTAAAGAGTGGTAACCTTTCAGGAGTTCCAGACTTCAGGGTTTCCCCAAGCTAGAATTTCTGTAGCACTGTAGGCCTCCCACACTCCACTGACTCCAGGTGGCCACCCCACACGATGGGAAGCAAGGGCAGATCTGGGCCAGTCCAGGAGCCATGGGCTGGGGTGGGGCAGTGGGATTGAAAGAGCTGTGGCATAAATAGGTTGAAATCTGCACTGAAACACGCCCCCACCAATTGCTGCATTGTGGGCAGCAAGAAGGAAAGAATAGCTGTGGCGTTTCTGGGGGTCCCAGACCTCAGGACTCCCCAAGCTTGGGCTGTAACATGCTGTAACACCCTCTTTGGGGCTCTGTGGTTTCTGGAATCTCCAAGCTTTCAGGGGCCACTTCATTCCCTGGTGCCTGCAGTGGAAACCACTTGTGATACAACAGGTTCAGCTGCAGCTTCACACGAATCCAGGTTGCCTGTGCTGGTGCCTAGAGCTGCCTGCCCCACCACAGCCAAAATGCCTGGCTATGCACAGTGGCCAGACCCTGTGCTCACTCACTCATGCACCCCTTGCACTCCACACCTGGCTTGCCATTGGCAGTTGTGGGATCCAGGCCTGTACTGCAAGCTGAGCTTAGCCTACCAGGCTGAGTGGATGGAATGAGCCCAGTGGACACAAGCAAAACCCAAGCAGAGGCGCCACCAATCACAAAGGTTTCTGGCTGGTGAAGTGACACCCAAAGGATCACCTGACAGAATCACAGAAAGGAGCATCTGGGTTAAGATAAGCAGTGGTGAAGACAAGGGTTTTATTACATAGATGAAGTTACATGGGTGTTTGCTCTTAGAGGCAATAGATGGCATATGTTTCCTATTAGACCTTTAAAAGATGCTAGATTCTCAGCTAATGTCTTCAGGATGAGAAAGATAAAGACTGGAAAGGGAAGGGGATTCACTCTAGAATGCAAATTTCCTCCACAAGAGAGAGTTTGCAGGGCGATTTCAAAATACATCAAACAAATATATTTTGGGTAAAATACTTTCTTTCAGGGTTTGCTGTCTGTCATGTAACACTATATTAGTGTCAGGTTGCAATTTAGTATCTTATTGCTATATAGAATCTGTTTTGTCAGTCTTAAGATCTCCGTTTTAATGTTAATGCTGGTCAATTCTGCCTGAATTCCAAAAGGAGGAGGGTATAATGAGGCATGTCTGATCCCCACTTCCCATCATGGCTTGAACTAGTTTTTCAGGGTAACTTTGGAATGCTCTAGGCTGAGAGAAGAGATCCATTCAGTCAACTGAGGCTCGAAAATGTTAGTTTTAGTTTATAATCTCACCAACAAGTCCTTTATCCAGATTGATACTGAGTTAAACATAGGGTTACAGGCCTTTTAGCAGATCACAATATAATTGCTATATAAATCTATAGGTTAGACTCTGTCCTAACAGAATGTCATAATCATTAAGACCAAGACTATCTTTAAATGTAAATATATTTATAAAAACTATAATATTATATTTACATAATATGATTTACACTTCATATCTAGGAAAAATATTTTATCATACCTATTCTTTTAAATTTTTTATAAATCATTTTATTGCCTTAACACATAGATACACTCCAGATAACACAGTGACGCATTGGCCAGAGAAAATCAGTTTGTAATATAAATAATATATAAATTTATTTCTATAAATTATTTTTCCTTATTTATAATTATTTAAATTCATATTTTAGATTCTTGCTACCACCCTGTCTGACATATACTATTGTAAAATTGAAAGAAATTTTCTCCAGTATAGCAAACATCCCAAATCAAAACCTTGGTTTTCTTGATCTTAATGAGCCAATTTATATACAGACATATCACAGCTATCTAAAATTGGCTTAGGTCCCTGATGCCTATCTTTCTTATTATTAATATTCCAACTTATCAAAAATAATTCAGTCTTGCTCACGTCTTACAGGCGTGGCTCTACTAGTGAAAAAGTAGGGTCACAGCACAGTTCTTCCAGAATGGTAATTAATAATAAGTAGTATTTACGTAGGACTTCACATCTTCAAAGGAGTTTGCAAACTCTAATTAACCTACATCCTAACCCCTTTAAAGGAAATGAGCAGGAATTAGCATTTGCTTTATGAATGGAACGCTGATTTGCAATAAAGCTGTGAATATGCATGGTCTAAAAGGATTACAAACAAGTATTATAATGTCTTTTCTCCTGCATTGCAGAAGATTCTGAGATAAGTTTTCTCCACCTTGGTACTATTGACATTTTACCCCGGATAATTACTTTCTGTGGGGGTTGTTCTGTTCATTGTAGAATATTTAATAGCATTCTTGGTTTCTGCTCACTAGATGCTAGTACCACCACCCACGCTTGACAATCAAAAAGTATCCAGATGTTGCCACCTGGAGTGGGCAAAGATCATCTCAAGTTGTGAGCCACTGTCTAGAAGAAAGAACCAAAAATGGCATATGATCTGTGACTTCAGAGATGAATAGAATTTAGAAGTTTGAGGACTGCCAGGGCACATACTCAAAGAAGGCATTTCAATAAAGTGTACAGGATATTTTTAGATTTTGAAAGGATTAAGCATAGCAGGTCAAGAAAGAACAAATCCATTTTTTCTCTAATGCATCTCCTTTTATTACTATATATTACAGCACCTCTGCGTCTATTATTTTTCCTTCTCACATCATCATGTGCAAAAATTAATTGTACAGTACAACATTCTAAACATCACTCTAATACACACACATGTGCATACATTTAGTCCTCAAAACAACTCTATAAAACAGATACCATTATTATACTACTTTATAGAAGAGGAAACTAAGGCATGGGAAGTTGTGTAACTTGACTTAGCAGAGTAATCATATTTCAAATCCAGGTTTGTTATTTCCATGGTCTGTGCTTTTTATCACAGAGATACACGTGTTTTCTTTTTCAAGCAGAGAGGTTTTTAGTGGTGGACATTATTAATTTCATATGTGTCAGTTTTAATCTTTAAGAAACAACGTGATACTATGGATAACAAAAGAAGAAAAGTTTCAAAAAGAAATGGGGTGAGGCAAGACTGTGTAGGTGTATTCCAAATATATTTATAAAACATTCAATAAATATAAGAGGCACTGAAGCCTGAAATATTCATTCACACAGAATTATTCATAGCTTCAAAGATCTAAACCGAAAACAATATTAGGTAAATAGATGATGAGGCAAAAAATTATAAGCAGCACAAAAATTATAAATTCCCAGGTGATAAGAAAAAGGAAATTATCATGGCTAGGGTATTAGGGTAGTTTTGTGCATAAAAACAGCATATGATCCATGACTTCAGAGATGAATAGAATTTGGAAATTTGAGGAATGCCATGGCAGGTGCTCAGAGAGGGCATTTTAGGTAAAGAAAACAGGATATTCATGGATGTATTAGTCTGTTCTCACACTGATAAAGACATATCCAAGATGGCCATTTACAAAAGAAGAAGGTTTAATGGACTTACAGTTTCACATGCCACAAGATTGTTGGCAGGCTTTTGTTCCTTGCAGCTACAGTTCCACATGGCTAGGGAGGCCTCACATGATGGCAGAAGGCAAGGAGGAGCAAGTCATGTCTTACCTGGATGGCGGCAGGCAAAGAGAGAGAGCTTGTGCAGAGAAACTCCCATGTTTAAAACCATCCGGTCCATGAGACTTCCTCACTATCACAAGAACAGCATGGGAAAGACCTGCCCCCATCATTCACATGGGAATTATGGGAGCTACAAGATAAGATAAGGTGGGGATACAAAGCCAAATCGTATCAATGGAATTTGAAAGGGTAAAGCATAGTAAGTCAGTATGGCCAGAGTTGGCTAAACAGAGAGAGATAAAAATGAAAAATTATTGTGAGGTCAGATTACAAATAAATTATAATAAATTTATATTTCTTCTAGTATCAGAACAAACGATAAAGGAAGAAAATGAAGCATTTCTTCAGTGTCTGTTAAGCGCTAAACACTGCTGAGCACATTGACAAACACTGCCTTGCTTAACCATTGAAAGGTTTCAGAAAGAAGACAGCATGAGGAGACTGTATTATTTACCAATTGCTGTCTTCTCATCTGCAAGCTCAAGTGGGAAAGCATCTGCTTTTCTGTTCTCATGATTGTTGGCAGTCTTCTGTTCCTTGCAGCTATAGGGTCCAACTTGCTTCTGTAAAAATAAGAAAACACAGGGGACAGGGAAAACTGATAAATCTGCTAGTGAGATTGAGACTTATTTAATTGTAATTAATCATAAGAGTGACATTCCATCCTATTTTTCATATTCTATTGACAACAAGAAAGTCACAGGTCCTTTCTACAGCCAAATGAAAGAGATTCTACCAGAATGTGAACATCAGAAATCAGGGATTGTGGGAAACCACCTTAAAATCTGTCTACCTCAGTCTGTCCTCTGACTCCCAATGATACACACTCTCCCAAGATTCCCAAGAGTTTTATACCATTATCATAACAGCAAAGTACAAAACTCATTGTCCAATCCAGGTTCAGGTATAGATGAGTTTCCAGGTATAAACTAAATACAGCTTTCTAGCTACGGACTTGCAAAAATGTAGAGAATTTCCCTGTCTACATGTGCAATTGTGGGACAGACATGAGATAACAGCAATAGCAATTTCCCTCCAGATGTGGGGGTGAAATACAAGGGAAAAGAAGTCTCTTGCCAAAGCCATTCTGAGATCGAGCCAAACAAATGTTCAGAGTTCTTCAATAGCTTTTAAAGTTGGGGCATAATTATTTGGGGCTCTTGGTTCCACTTTCTGGACTCATGGTTCTGCCCTCTGAGTCTTTCTTCTTTTTCATGAAAGAAAGCAAATGTTTGCAGCTGAGTAGTTTTCTGAGACTGCTTCCTGCCAGTAGAATTTTAATGGTCCCTCAGCCTCCTTTTATTTTATACTCTCTGTTCCCTGTAATCTAAGCTTGTAGTGTTTATGCTAAAATAATTTTCTCAACAATATTGACTTATTGTTGAGTTAATAATGATTTTATTCCACTAAACAACAGCTACACAACAGATCACTGCAAGATAAGTCTTCCTCTACTTCATCTTTTTTGCTTAGATGGTGTATTAGTCTGTTCTAATGCTGCTAATAAAGACATACCCAAAACTGGGTATTTATTTTAAAAAGAGGTTCAATTGATTCACAGTTCCACAGAACTGGGGAGGTTTCAGGAAACTTACAATCATGGTGGGAGGGGAAGAAAACACGTCCTTCTTTACATGGCAGCAGGAAGGAGAAGTGCCAAGCAAAAGGGGGGAAAATCCCCTTATAAAACCATCAGATTTCATAAGAACTCATTCACTATCATGAAAACAGCACGAGGGTAACCGCCCCCATGATTAAATTATCTTCCACTGGGTCCCTCCCACAACATGTGGGGATTATGGGAACTACAATGCAAGATTAGATTTGGGTGGGGACACAGCCAAACCACGTTAGATGGCTTAGGGACAACATACTTAACCTTCCTATGGGCCCTATAGGTTAATTGTGAAGATCTAAGAGGACCTCTTGAAAGGATTTTATGAAATTGAATAATCTGATCTTTAGGTATATCTGAGGTTAGAGCAAAGCATACCATATTTTTGGAAGCAATTTCTTAATCTCAGCAGTTTTGGCTTTCTGGAGATGCTGAGAATTCTCAAAATCATCAACTTGTGGTTCATTTTTGTTTAAAAGACAAAAACAGATTTGTTTAAATCTTACTGTATTTTATAAGCAACAAGAAAACAGGCGACTTTGTCACCACCTTGCTTGAAAATCTCTTTGACTCTATAACTGAGTTTGTCACCTACAAGTTCTGATTTTTACATAATTACAGGAGAAAATTTGTCAAGGATTTTACCACTATATGACAATGATCCCTCTTACTCCACTTTCCAATAATATGTTTCTTGCTTCCTTTTGAGACTTCACCGGCAGTGACCTTAAAATCCAGACTTCTAATAACAGTCTGTTCAGTAACTTAGATGTTTTGTATTATAAACCTCAAATTTCCTTCTGACTCTACCAATTACCCATTTCCCAAGTCACTTTTTAGGTATTTGTTAAGCAGCACCAACTTCTGGGACTAAAAATCTACATTAGTTTTCTACTGTTGTTTCTCTTCTGAAGGATTAACTAGGGCACTATCACATCCCTGCTCTCATGATTGTTGTTTGAATTCAATTCTTTGAGGCTGTGAGATCCATGTTCTGTTACGTCTTCAAAGCCAGCAAAACGTGAGAAAAAGGTTACACCCAGCTAAGTCCCTAGACATAGCTGAAGCATGTAAGACACTCCTGCTGTGAAAAGACTGAATACCTGACCATAATTAAAATGGCTTTTTATACCACTAAGTTTTGGATCAACTTGCTGTGTAATAATAGTAGCTGGAACAATATTCCTTAGTTTGATTTTTGTTTCTTTCATAAGTAAACTCAGTTAAGTTTTCTTTAAATAAATTATGAAAGTAGCCATGATTTGTTGGCAGAAATTTTAAAATAACATACTATATCCTATTGCATATTTAAATATTTGCTAAAAATTATATGTTTCAGCACCAAGAATATATTAAAATACTTTAATTTCCTGATTTTTAGTTTTTGCAAATTAGACTTCCAAAAAGTCAAGCAGACTAGATTTTTGAAAATGGTCACGGTTTTTCTCTAAGTGGCTAGAGAAAGAGAATGTTTGGAGTTTTTTGCAAACACAACTCTACACATAAATACATTAAGGTTATGAATAGTGTTCTAACACTAACAAATAAAAGGCAAACTGGATACGATTGCCAATATAGTTTCTTCTTTGTGTAATGTTGTTTTTGGAACTACTAGCAAAAATTTGATATGATATATGGGAATTTTGATCAGGTGAATACAATTAATCTGGAGACAATTATCTTGATATGTATTTGTAACATGTACATGTTCTTCATTAACTTGTTGTATATTAATATTCCTTATTTTTCCTTCTTTTATTAAAGACAGATTATGAGACAAATTATGACATAGATGATTAGAAATAAAAATAATTCAAAACTGAATAATGTCCATAAACTCTATGTCAGCACAGGATGTTCAGCTGAGTGATGATGTGATTCAGTAAATGAGTCATTCGCCACTTGTCAGCCTCAACTATTACACGTGCTTACTTAATTTCTACTCAGAGTCTTTCAAATTATTCAGTTTTAAAGGAAACATTAGTTATTTATCAAATTATATAAAAAGCCAAAGATATTACAATCATTACTAACTTTAGATGGAAACATCTTTGTATACCCTTGAGGTTCCCAATCTGTTGAAAAATGATAGTCTACCCCAAGGGCAGACACACTATAGATGGCTTGTTGTCACTTAAGACTAAATTACACAACTCACAGCATCCTCTACAGCTCTTAACAATACCAACTTTCCAGCAGAAAGGAAATAATTAACAGAATGAAATGGAAAAAAATCAGTAAAAAGATTCCCCTTTTCTTTTGGTACTTTAGTTTTAGAAACCCCAAAATTGTTGCTCCAATAATTGTAGAAGCCACTGTTAGAGTCATAAAAAAAGAATATACCTTACTCCCTCGAATTATATGAAGCATGAATTTCAGGAATTCATAGTGCTGAATGATATTTTTGTCCTTAAATACTAAGAAATTGTAAGAATTTGAAGACTCATATTAATTACTGAATTAATTCCTTTTATATCTTACAAGGGTACACCTTAAATCTAACAGTGGCTGCCAGATGTCTATCTATTCCTTAATCAGCAAGTAGAAAAATCTAAGAAATGGTAGTCATCTTCATTAAGAGCATCAAGAGCTTTTGGTCATTTTACCATTAATTCAAACTGAGTAACTAAATTCCAACTCATCAAGATTCTCAAGAATTAAAGAATTTTGTTTCATTTATTTATCTAATCCCATAACAGAAAGCATGTCAACATTAACATAAAACACTTACTATTATTTGAGCAACAACCCTCTGTCAGAGTTACGTAAGTAAAGGTTGGCTTTTTCTTTTTTTCCCATTTATTTATTTTATTGCATTTTAGGTTTTGGGGTACATGTGAAGAACATGCAAGATTGTTGCATAGGTACACACGTGGCAGTGTGATTTGCTGCCTTCCTCCCCATCACCTACATCTGGCATCTCTCCCCTTGCTATCACTCCCCACCCCCCACCGTCCCTCCCCTATTTCCCCCCAACTGACCCCAGTGTGTAGTGCTCCCCTCCCTGTGTCCATGTGTTCTCATTGTTCAACACCTGCCTAGGAATGAGAACATGCGGTGTTTGATCTTCTGCTCTTCTGTCAGTTTCCTAAGAATGATGGTTTCCAGGTTCATCCATTTCCCTACAAAGGACACAAACTCATCGTTTTTGATGGCTGCATAATATTCCATGGTGTATATGTGCCACATTTTCCCTGTCCAGTCTATCGTCGATGGGCATTTGGGTTGGTTCCAGGTCTTTGCTATTGTAAACAGTGCTGCAATGAACATTCGTGTGCCCGTGTCCTTATAGTAGAACGATTTATAATCCTTTGGATATATACCCAGTAATGGGATTGCTGGGTCAAATGGAATTTCTATTTCTAGGTCCTTGAGGAATTGCCACACTGTCTTCCACAATGGTTGAACTAAGTTACACTCCCACCAACAGTGTAAAAGTGTTCCTATTTCTCCACATCCTCTCCAGCATCTGTTGTCTCCAGATTTTTTAATGATCGCCAATCTAACTGGCGTGAGATGGTATCTCAATGTTGTTTTGATTTGCATTTCTCTGATAACCAGTGATGATGAGCATTTTTTCATATGTTTGTTGGCCTCATGTATGTCTTCTTTTGTAAAGTATCTGTTCATATCCTTTGCCCACTTTTGAATGGGCTTGTTAGTTTTTTTCTTGTAAATCTGTTTTAGTTCTTTGTAAATTCTGGATATCATCCCTTTGTCAGATGGGTAAACTGCAAAAATTTTTTCCCATTCTGTTGGTTGCCGTTTCACTCTAATGACTGTTTCTTTTGCTGTGCAGAAGCTGTGGAGTCTGATTAGGTCCCATTTGTCTATTTTGGCTTTTGTTGTCAATGCTTTCGGTGTTTTGGTCATGAAGTACTTGCCTACACCTATGTCCTGAATGGTTTTGCCTAGATTTTCTTCTAGGGTTTTTATGGTGTTAGGTCTTATGTTTAAGTCTTTAATTCATCTGGAGTTAATTTTAGTGTAAGGTGTCAGGAAGGGGTCCAGTTTCTGCTTTCTGCACATGGCTAGCCAGTTTTCACAACACCATTTATTAAACAGGGAATCCTTTCCCCATTGCTTATTTTTTTCAGGTTTGTCAAAGATCGGATGGTTGTAGATATATTGCATTGCCTCCGAGACCTCTGTTCTGTTCCATTGGTCTATATCTCTGTTTTGGTACCAGTACCATGCTGTTTTGGTACCAGTACCATGCTGTTTTGATTACTGTAGCCTTGTAGTATAGTTTGAAGTCTGGTAGTGTGATGCCTCCCGCTTTGTTCTTTTTGCTTAGAATTGACTTGGCTATGTGGGCTCTCTTTTGGTTCCATATGAAGCTTAAGGTAATTTTTTCCAGTTCTGTGAAGAAGGTCATTGGTAGCTTGATGGGGATAGCATTGAATCTGTAAATTACTTTGCGCAGTATGGCCATTTTCACAATATTGATTCTTCCTAACCATGAACATGGAATGCTTCTCCATCTGTTTGTGTCCTCTCTTATTTCGCTGAGCAGTGGTTTGTAATTCTCCTTGAAGAGGTCCTTTGCGTTCCTTGTTAGTTGTATTCCTAGGTATTTTATTCTCTTTGTGGCAATTGTGAATGGAAGTTTGTTCTTGATTTGGCTCTCTTTAAGTCTGTTATTGGTGTATAGGAATGCATGTGATTTTTGCACATTGATTTTGTATCCTGAGACTTTGCTGAAGTTGCTTATCAGTTTAAGGAGATTTGGGGCTGAGACGATGGGGTCTTCTAGATATACAATCATGTCATCTGCAAATAGAGACAATTTGACTTCCTCCTTTCCTATTTGAATACCCTTTATTTCTTTTTCTTGCCTGATTGCTCTGGCTAGAACTTCTAGTGCTATATTGAATAGGAGTGGTGAGAGAGGGCATCCTTGTCTAGTGCCACATTTCAAGGGGAATGCTTCCAGTTTTTGCCCATTCAGTATGATATTGGCTGTTGGTTTGTCATAAATAGCTTTTATTATTTTGAGATACGTTCCATCAATACCTAGCTTATTGAGGGTTTTTAGCATAAAGGGCTGTTGAATTTTGTCAAAGGCCTTCTCTGCATCAATTGCGATAATCGTGTGGTTTTTGTCTTTGGTTCTGTTTATGTGGTGAATTACGTTTATAGACTTGCATATGTTGAACCAGCCTTGCATCCCCGGGATGAAGCCTACTTGATCATGGTGGACAAGTTTTTGATGTGCTGTTGCAATCGGCTTGTCAGTATTTTATTGAAGATTTTTGCATCTATGTTCACCATGGATATTGGCCTGAAGTTTTCTTTTCTTGTTGAGTCTCTGCCGGGTTTTGGAATCAGGATGATGTTGGTGTCATAAAATGATTTGGGAAGAATTCCCTCTTTTTGTATTGTTTGGAATAGTTTCAGAAGGAATGGTACCAGCTCCTCTTTGTATGTCTGGTAGAATTCAGCTGTGAACCCGTCTGGACCTGGGCTTTTTTTGGGTGGGAAGCTCTTAACTGCTGCCTCAACTTCAGACCTTGTTATGGGTCTGTTCAGGGTTTCGGCTTCTTCCTGGTTTAGGCTTGGGAGGAGGCAAGTGTCCAGGAATTTATCCATTTCTTCCAGGTTTACTAGTTTATGCGCATAGAGTTGTTTGTAATAATCTCTGATGATGGTTGGAATTTCTGTGGAATCTGTGGTGATATCCCCTTTATCATTTTTTATTGCATCAATTTGGTTATTCTCTTTTCTTTTTTATTAATCTGGCTAGTGGTCTGTCTATTTTGTTGATCTTTTCAAAAAACCAGCTCCTGGATTTATTGATTTTTTGAAGGGTTTTTTTGTGTCTCTATCTCCTTCAGTTCTGCTCTGATCTTAGCTATTTCTTGTCTTCTGCTAGACTTTGAGGTTTTTTGATCTTGCTTCTCTATCTCTTTCAGTTTTGATGATAGGGCGTCAATTTTTGATCTCTCCTTGCTTCTCATGTGGGCACTTATTGCTATATATTTTCCTCTAGAGACTGCTTTAAATGTGTCCCAGAGATTCTGGTATGTTGTGTCTTCATTCTCGTTCATTTTGAAGAACATCTTTATTTCTGTCTTCATTTCATTGTTTATCCAGTCAACATTCAAGAGCAAGTTGTTCAGTTTCCAGGAAGCTGTGAGGTTCTGGGTTAGTTTTTGAATTCTGAGTTCTAACTTGATTGCACTGTGGTCTCAGAGACTGTTTGTTATGATTTCTGTTCTTTTGCATTTGCTGAGGAGTGATTTACTCCCAATTATGTGGTCAATTTTAGAGTAGGTGTGATGTGGTGCTGAGAAGAATGTATATTCTGTGGATTTGGGGTGGAGAGTTCTGTAAATGTCTATTAGGTTTGCTTGGTCCAGGTTTGAGTTCAAGTCCTGGATATCCTTGTTAATTTTCTGTCTGGTTGATCTAATATTGACAATGGGGTGTTAAAGTCTCCCACTATAATTGTGTGGGAGTCTAAGTCTCTTTGTAAGTCATTAAGAACTTGCCTATGTATCTGGGTGCTCCTGTATTGGGTGCGTATATATTTAGGATCGTTAGCTCTTCTTGTTGCATTGATCCTTTTACCATTATGTAATGTCCTTCTTTGTCTCTTTTGATCTTTGTTGCTTTAAAGTCTAATTTATCAGAGATGAGAATTGCAACTCCTGCTTTTTTTTGCTCTCCATATGCTTGCTAAATCTTCCTCCATTCCTTTATTTTGAGCCTTTGTGTATCCTTGCATGTGAGATGGGTTTCCTGGATACAGCACACTGATGGGTTTTGGCTTTTTATCCAATTTTTCAGTCTGTGTCTTTTGATTGGGTCATTTAGTCCATTTACATTTAGGGTTAATACTGTTATGTGTGAATTTGATACTGCCATTTTGGTGCTAGCTGGCTGTTTTGCCCATTAGTTGATGCAGATTCTTCATTGTGTTGATTCTCTTTACCATTTGGCATGTTTTTGGAGTGGCTGGTACTGGTTGTTCCTTTGTATGTGTAGAGACTCTTTCAGGAGCTCTTGTAAAGCTGGCCTGGTGGTGACAAAAATCTCTGAGTACTTGCATGTTCACAAAGGATTTTATTTTTCCTTCACTTACGAAGCTTAGTTTGGCTGGATAGGAGATTCTGGGTTGAAAGTTGTTTTCTTTAAGGATGTTGAATATTGGCCCCCACTCTCTTCTGGCTTGTAGGGTTTCTGCTGAGAGATCTGCTGTGAGTCTGATGGGCTTCACTTTGTGGGTAACCCGACCTTTCTCTCTGGCTGCCCTTAGTATTTTCTCCTTCATTTCAACCCTGGTGAATCTGACGATTATGTGCCTTGGGGTTGCTCTTCTTGACGAATAAAGTTTGGCTTTTAATCATTAGGCAATGCTCTCCTGAATTTCTATACAGAATCTCTCTACAAAGGGGAGACAATTGAATCCAATTGTATTGTGGAGAAAATGACATTATTTGTCTTGAAAGTGCATTTGTTTAGGAAGTGGTTTGTTCATATAGTGATGTTAGAGATTAATGAAAGTATCCCACCTATGACAGGTTTTTATTTACTTAAGATAGAAGAATCTCATACTGTATATTCAAACCAAAAGTTGATGGAAACGAAAAGGAGTTCCTTGGAAAAACCATGACTTGAAAAAGCCATTGGTAGATGCATGTATAGAGATTCCCTCACCTCCCCAGGATCACTTTATCAGCTACTCACCGAGTCCCATCTCCCAAACCTATCTTGGATACTAGCTGAGGATCTCACCATAAAAATAAACGGTCAGCAGGCTGAGGCAGGAGGACTGGTGGAGGTCAGGAAGTCGAGACCAGCCTAGATAACATAGCTAGACCCCATCTCTACAAAAAATTTTTTGAAAAGTTATCAGGGCATGGTGGCATCTGTCTGTAGTCCCAGCTGCTCGGGAGGCTGCAGGAGAGAACAAGACCCCCATCTCAAGTAAGTAAATAAATATAAAACGTGCATTAATAAATTAATTCAAGGTTGCCAGTAAATGGCTCTTGGATGTACCACAATGTTAAAGTTGGAAAGGACCTCAGAGATCATTACATTCATGTCCTACTGAACTACTAAGGACCAGGGGGTTAGGTGCCTTTTAAAGGGTTAGATCTAGGGAAGAGTGATGTTGGAAAAAGGCAGATGTCCCAGACCTCTTCTTACTCCACCCCCACCAAAGTTGACTTAATAATATTCTATGTAGTTTAATATTTTATGTAGTTAAATGTTTTATAGTTACACATATTATTTCTATGGGTTTAAGTTTCCAGTAGCACATAGATTTTTTTCTTTTAAATCTAGTTCCTGAGTTTAGTCAGCTTATTTCTGAGTTTTCCAGTTCTGAAATAATATGTTGTTCTTTCACATTTTCTACTCTAAAAGAAAAATTAACTTTGATCTGCTTTAGGGGCATTTCTTTCTTACGTGTGTTCGTTCTTCTGTAGAAATGTATTCTTTCAATTACAGTATTTTCTTATTTGTGTATATTTAGCCCACATATCGTTTGGTTCCTCGTTTTCAGGTGAGCTTAGCTTCTCTGAACATCTAGAAGAAAATGTAGTTAATGGTAATTTTTCTAACGTTATAGAATTCCCACTAGTGTTGCTTTTTAAAACCATAATGGTTTGCTTTCTGAAAATGTTGGCTGCTTCCTCCTCACCTTCAATGTGGACCTTCTATTTCCTTTGTCTCTCCATTGCCCCTATTTTGCTCACCTTTTATTCCATTCCCACCATCTTTTCTTCTTTATGAGGTCCTGACCTGGAAAACATCAATGGTGGCTCAGTTCTGAGAAGTCATGGGTACTAAGCCCTTCAGATTTACCCAGGGCTCCTTTCACTCACATGTTATTCCACTGGAAAAAGTCCCTTTTAGTTTCAGGTGCTGATCTCAGACTTGCCCACGTGTTTTCCTGTAAATCCCTGCTAAGGAGTTTCTGCTTTCTCAGGTTCATCTGTTTTCTTCACACACATATCAATGTCTGTTTCCATCCATTCATCACTTTGTCCTTTTGTAAATGTTGTTCATTTATGATAATGAATCCCAAAAACTACCGGCTTTTTATTTTTTGAAGCATTATATTTAAGAAGTGTCCTATTTTTATTTAACTTCCATTTTTATTGCTTAAAAAGAAATGCTGTTGAATTTCATATACCAATTTTTTATTGCTGCATTTAGTCTATTAATACAGCTACATGCCATAATGTACATTTAATATTGTATTATTCTCACATTTCTTAAAATTGAACATTACTTGGAATTATTCTATTTCTTTGTTACTGCAATATTAATTAAAAATGCATTATTGGGATGTTTTGTCTCTGTTACTATACAATCAATAGTCGTTTCAAACGTTTAAATAATTTATTGAAATACAATTTACTCAGAGTATAACGAACAAATCTCATGTTTAAGAGTAGGTATATCACTTTAAAAATCACCAGTTTTCCAAAGTGGTACCATTGCACGTTCCCACTAGCAACATATGAAAGAAAGTTCTGGCTGTTTGACATTCCATGCTATTTTTGATAGAGGGTGACATCAAGATTACTAAATCCTGATTTCAGAAGACTTCCATGTTTTTTTTCTATGTGCCAAAATGTTTCAAATATCAAAGGAAGCATGTGTTCCATCAAAGGCAACCAACTTCCCCATGATGTCTATCAGTCAGAATCACCAATGCTTATTTGGTTCCTCTAACTGATTAGTTGGGTGGATTCTCTTCTTCCTTCAATGTTCCCTCCAAGTACATAACTTCAGAACATGATTATCATTTCTTCCTGGTGAACGCTATGTAAGTGCCTGCATTCCTTTAATAAAACACCCCACAAGCTCTTATTGGGGTGTATCAATGAAGAGGTCAAAGACGTTGTTAGAACATTGTATATGTAATTTTAAGAGTGAAAAGCCAGAAAGTAAAACTAGAAGTTTAGACAATTCTTAGAAACGCTTGCATGTGAAAAGAAACATCAGCCAGAAAATATATGGTTTTGAAATGCTGAGGGAAATAGCCTCCAAAGAGGGAGAATCAGAAAGAGAAGGAAACATGAATTTTTCTCTTTCCCATCTTACCCACTAAAATATAAGCCTAATGAAGGTAGGAATGTCTGCCTACTTTGATTACTGCTGCTTCCAGGACTAGGACAGAGCCTAGAATTCAAGAGGCACTCATATTTGTGAATCATTAAATAACAGAAGACAAGGTGGGGACTTGGTCAATAAATACTGGGGAATAAGGTAACTTTTGGAGCTGATGGATAAGTTTACAGCCTGAATGTGGTGGTCTCACAGGTGTATACTTAACTCCAAACTCATCAAGTTGTATATATTTCTCAAATATGTACTGCTTTTTGTGTGTTTATCATTCCTTAAGTGGTCTAATAAATAAACAAATAAAAATAAAAATAAAAAGCATTACACTAGAGGCTAAAATATCTTGCTTACAATTCTTCATGCAGTTATCTGAGCACAAGATACAGTCCATATTCTGCAGTGGCATTTCAGACCTTTCAAAATCTACCCTACCCTATCTTAATCTATCTTTCTCCCTTACCCCTAAATCTCAATGCTTTAAAAATATTTCCACACTTTTATAACCCTATGATTTATAATCTCTCCTCTGCAAGGAAAAACTTTCCATACCACTATGCCTGGTGAAATTCTACTTTTTCCCCCAGTTACTCACTTATTAACCCAGGTGTGGGTAAGAATAGCAAGTAAAACTAGAGAGTTCTTAGTATGTGCTGGGGGCTATGGCTCTGTCCTCAAACATTCTGATAAGACAGGTGTCATTTGCGTTTGACAGTTTAGAAACTAAAGTTCAAAGAGGTTGTGATTGCTCAAAATGACAGATATTGGTAGCTGAACTGTAATTGAGCTTGGAATGACTTGATTCTAATGCTTGGGCTCTTTCCCCTCCAAGACAATCCATCATTCCTTTAGGAATACACTAACCTTTTGTATTCTAATTATCTTATCTGTCAAAACACTGTGAGTTCTTTGAGGGCAGGAATTACTTTATTCTTCTCTTTACTCAAAAGGCTACTAATGAAGAGTAAGAACTTGTACTACTCAATGAAAGTGAATTGTTGTTTTTAAGATAGATCTAGGGCTGGAAGAATTCCATGTTAGATAGTTTAAACACAATCTCTTTTCCCAGAAGTGAGCATTCCAAGGGGCCAAAGCTGCCCTGTTCACGTAGACCCCAGGTCAAGCGCATGAGTATGAAGTAGCTACTCTAGTCACCTTTCAAAAAAGTTGACATCAGCCTGAAATGAATGAACTCCTTGAGGACACTTCTAAGTCATCAGAGATAAGGAATAGGGTGGAGCAGTTCTTAGTAAATCTGCTGTCCTGCTTTCTGGCAAGAAACCACAGCCTTGGAGAATAAACGCCAAGGGTGTTTTTCAGTTGGCTTCAGAATATTTATCCTATCAGTAGTTGACCCAGTGTCTTTACTCATGCACTTTATTCTAGTGGCACCTGTAATCCCAGCTACTCAGGAGACTGAGGCAGGAGAAGAGCTTGAACCTAGGAGGTGGAGGTTGCAGTAAGCTGACTTGGCACCATGGCACTCCAGCCTGGGTGACAGAGTGAGACCCTTTCTAACAAAAAAAAAAAAAAAAAAAAAAAAAGAAGAAGGAAAAACAAGGTAGGGGTGGCATGGTGAAATTGTCTAAAATTTGAATAATGGGCTACATTACAGGGCATTCAATGAAATACTGCACAACAATTTAAAATGATGGAGGAATATTTTAGTGAATTGTAAAAATTTTCAAAATTCATCGAGAAAAGCTGATTAAATGAAGCATATAGTTTGCTTTATACATGTTACACTAAATATTTATATTGTGCTCTAAATATTTATTGTGTACTATCTTTACCATTGGTAACCTAAAATACTACATGTTGTTATCTTTAGTAGTAACAGTACAGACTTTTCTCCCACTGTACTTATTTGTATTTGTTAATTTTTCTCAATAGACATAAAAAAGTTTGCCAGACATAGGTGATGGGTGGATGGACGCAGCAAACCACATGGGCATTTATGTACCTATGCAACAATCCTGCATGTTCTTCACATGTGCCCCCAAACCTAAAACACAATAAAACATATATTTAAAAAAAACAAAGTGTAAAATTTTTAATAACACTCATTGGTAATGTGAAATACAAAGGATCATAAAGAGAAAACAGATTGAGACCAGCCAAAAATTTTACTGACACCAAAAAATCTGATACAACTATTATGAATCATTTAAAAAAGAACAGAAGACAAAAATTATTTTAATAGTATATTAAATATTTTATTTAAATTAAGAAGTACAACAAAATCACATACATTTGTCTCACAGTCTGGATAAAATTTCCTTACTTTCAAATAATACACATATAGTATCTCACAGATCAAATTCCATACATTTCAATATGGTCACAAGATAGACTGTATTCCAAAATTTGGTATATAAATCCATACATAATATATACCATATATACTGACTTTAAATAATCTATAATGACACCTATTAAATAGATAAAATCTAGAAAAATCACTTTTTGTGAATACTATTTATGCTGGAATACAAATTCACATAAAAATACTTCCTTTAAAACATGTTCTATTTCACACAATTAAATTAAATGTGAGCTACTTTTAAAACTGCAAGCTTTATTTTTAATCAAACCAATTCAATTTTAAATTTTTAGATCATTACGTCTCATACAACTTCCTCTCATTTAGCTAAAAACATCATTGACAAAGTTTTATTATCACATTTGGTCTTAACCTTAAAAAACAAATTTGCTTACAGCATTTCACATGTAAAAGGGATATTTTAAACTCTAAGTAAAAAGACATATTTTTACATGTCCAATTGTAACAATTTTACCCTATTTTCTTGCAATGCTTTTATCAGATAAAAACTATTACTAAAGTTTTGATTTTTTAGAATATACTGTTTAGGTCTTATCATAACTTTAAAAGTTTTGAAATCTATTTTATCAGTATCTAAATAAAAATTCGAGATATCGATATGGATATTATAAAAAACATCTCTTCTTTGGACTGTTTAATTATTTCACCTTAATTGTAAAAAAATCAGTGAGTCACTTATTTTTCTTTCTTGGCTTTGGGCCATTGTCTTTTCATCTTAAAAGTTAAAATTATTGTTTTCCTATGTCTAACAATACTTTTTAGACATAGATTTTTAATTTTTAAGATACAAAAATAAAATGTAGTTCGGTAGTTCATCATTACCACCTGCTGCAATGAGTCTGCCAGATCAGAGGCTTTCACTAGGAAAGCTAGCTTTAAATCAAATATTGGCTTTCTTCTTGTAATTTGCACTTGTCTATTGAATCAGTTACCCAACTGTCTTTTAGGATTTTAAACTTTCTCTTAAAAGTTCTTCTAAAAGCTTTAAAATCTGCAACACGACTATGATCTTCACCAATGATTACATGAGACACTCCCTCAGCTAAATAAGAAACTACTGTTCCACCATGAAATCGAAGCTCCAAGGCTTTAATAGCTAATCTTGTCCCCTCAGTTTTGGTACTCAGGTCATTAATAACAGCATACAAGTCCAAATAAATGGTGTGGCGTCGAAACATACTGAGAGGAGAGCAATCCCAGGAATACCGATGTTCTAAATCAGCAATCACAGAAGTCATTTCTTCAGGAGTCTGCTCGTTAGAATTTTTAATTCCTGAGAATACTTCTTTCAGTTGGTTCAAGTCTGTATCAACAAAATAACTATCACCATAGCAATCATATTCACGGGCGAAATGTTCTTTGGTTGATGGGCACATATGAATCATAAAGCAAGGCTGCCATGGCACAAAGCTTTTGGTCTTAAAACATTCTAAAAGCCATGCAGGCTTGACAACATCATGTTTATTTGACAAAATTATGTTTTTCACTCTGATGTTCTCAGACCCTGCAATTACACAGTATGTGTCTGGGCCTGGGTTTTGTACTATATAACCACCAAATTCTGCAATTCTGTTCTCCAGGTCAGGTTTTGGCTGGCTATCTGCTCCACTCATAACACAAAACTCCACATCTTCGAATATATTAGAAATTTTGTTTACATTAGTAAGGTTAGGTGCTTTTAAGTGCTCAATAATTCCAATAACTTTTTTCATCCTTGGGGGAGCTTTTCGCTTTTTTTCTGGTGGTTCGTCATCATCACCTAAATAAAGGTGTTTAGATGCAAGCTTTCCAGATGCTTTTCCCCTAAGTTGTTCTAGGTCATCCAGTGTCATGCACTCATGCCACTCTTTGTCATCTCTTATCTTCTCAATTCGTGGAAAACGCAAGGTACAGCCAGTTTTATACATATCACTGGGTACTATCTCTGCTGCCTTAATCTGAACAATGACAGAATTACAAGGTTCAATGTACACTTCTGGCCTCTCTGTTCCACATAAAATGCTACTTGGTGGAGTTCTTTTATGAAAAGGCCTCCAGTATTTGGCCAATTTCAAACCCAGATCATACAGTTCTTTCATGGTACAACCAGAGCCAACACGAGAGAGAGTATGAAACACAGATGGCTTTTTACCAGGAGGGGGCTTCTCTGCTACTGCACACAAAAAATGAGACATCATTCCACCCCGTGATCCTTTACCCCAATATCCTCCAACAATTAAAATGTCCAATTCATCCATTAGTCCATTAACATATTCTGGTTTAATTTTTAACCACCCTTCACCTCTTTTGTCTGGCTTATAGATGGACAGAGGATGTTTTATCATGATTCCTTCTTCTCTTTTATCTATTGCTTCATTCAATGCATCAATTACTTCATCCTTAGTATGAGCTTGTGTTTTCTGCACTATTTCTATTCTACCTGGAATTGGTGTAAAAATACTATTAAGAATCTCAAACCTCTTTCTCAGAGTCTCATGCCCTAGCTTTTTATTATTAACCATCAATACATCAAAAACACAATAACAAGTCTGCAGATCAGAATCTTCTACCATTCTTTTAATATCAAACTTAATTCCCTTTTGCATGAAAGTTTGTGTATTAGGATTATAGGCCATCATCTCACCATCAAGAATACAGATTTGTATATCTGTTTGGAATGCATTATGAATGAATGGGGTAAGAGAACCTTCAGCAGGAGAAGCACCAAACTGATCAGTATAGTTATATCCATTTCGGGAGAAGTATTTATATACATCCCCATCTTTGTGCATTTGCATACGTTCACCATCTAGCTTGGTTTCTATGTAGAAAGTCTGATGTTTCATATCCTTCTCAATGTGCTCAATATTTGCAATAGCAGCTAGCATTGGTTTAAAGGCAGAAAATAAAGTGATAGAAATATCACTGAGTCCTACAGAAGGATCATGCAGTTGCCTACAGACTTTTTCCAGATCTGTAGTGACATTATGCAACTCAGCAGCATCATTATGAAAAACAGAAAAGATAGTTTGCTGACTAACACCAAGCTTTAAATCCTTTATGATCATCCGAATAAGCCACTTTTGCTCAAGTGCAGAACTCTGAGTTATAAGTTGAAGAACACTCTTTTTTACTAGGTCTTTTCTTTTAGCAGAATTATTGCTGGCAATTGAGTCTAAAAGGTCATTTACTTGCTGTATGGTTAAACTTCCTTTCTGTAAACATCTTGGCTTCAACACAAAATATGCAATCATTGCAAAGTCTCCAGCATCTCCATGAGTTCCAGTGGGTGTTCTGTAGTTTAAAAGTTTGAGGGCATCTTTTCCATCTCTAGGTAAATTAAGCAATTCAATATAAAGCTTAGCAAGCATAGTTTCTTTAATGCCATAGGCCATTCTCTCTCTTTCTAGCTGAGGAAGAATTAGCCTCATTGCTGGATAAAAAGAGTCTGTGACATCTTTTTGGTTCTTATGAAGAGCATCATGAAATTTTCTCCAAGAATCTAAAAATTCCCTAAAGTGTCTGATTTTTTCTGCACGTCCTTTAGTTTTCTGTATTCGTTCTAAAGTTGAACACAAATCTGCAAAAGGAACGTGAGATGCAACAGTTTGTGAAGTTTGTGAGGCAGCCATCAAAGTGGTGATGAATCTTCCAGTTTAACTAGTAAAGCAAAAAGAGAATAACTTTAAGATTCAACTAAATATTTAATGTAAAGACCTTACAAAGATCACTCAGATCATAATAAATGTTTATTAATGTTTGCTAAATAGATCAATGCTATAAACAATGTATGTTTTCAATCTCTACATTTAATAACAACTATTTTGCTTCAACCCTAATTCAGTTATGAAAAGTATCATCAGCTGTATTTCCTATATTTGTAATACAGAAATTATTTTAATTATTTTTCTCCTTAAATTCCAACTTTCATTGACTTATTCTATATATCAATTACTTAGCACATAATACAAACAAATATTGCAAATAATGGCGACAGAAAAACTAATCAGGCTTAATTCACTTCACTTCTGAGCTTCTAATGCAAGGCCTTTCACTGTATGTCTCTTCTTTCCCTGACAGACTATTACACAGCACCAGACACCAACTTCTTCAAATAGATGTTTTTAACAAAACACTCATTTCCTGAATTGGAATTTGACTTCTTAGAAATCCTAATCATAGGCAGGGCCCTTGACCAAAAACACAAAACAAAGCAAAAAACAGGTATCCTCTTCTTCCAGCCAAAGAAAACCTATGTTTTTTTTCCCTCACTTCTTCACTGTTAGCTATGCCAAATCACACCAATATTCAATCTCAACTTAAAATGCCCAAATCAAAATCCTCACTTTATATATTTTACCATAGTTACTTATTGTCTTATAAGTATAAATGTATTAATACGATTTTTTTCATATTTCCATGCCAGTTATTCCCTAAGTATTTAATTACTACATATGAGATGTGCTACATACACTGTGCTAGGGGAAAATACAGTATGCTTCTGCTTTAAAAGAACATAAATTCTGTTAAACAAAATTTTAAAAGGGGGTATAATGGAAACAGTATAATAAAATACTAAGTGCTTTAACAAAATAAAACAATTGTAAAA